TACGTGAACTTTGGGCGGCAGCAGATATGGATGTTGATTGGTTGTACGGATCTCTCGGGATGGGCTTGGCTTTGACGTAATTCTTTCCCACCAGAGGGCAGCATCCGTCCGCAAAACAATGCCAAGTTCGGATGATGGACGCATGGATGTCGACATACGAACTCCCCGAGTCAGTCGCCGGCGTCGAGATGAGATTTTGAGGAGCATGCAATCGAGATTGGGGGTAACCTGGCGTGGGTGGAGTCACGTTCGTTGGTGCTGTTGGTTGTGCACGGGTTAGGGTTACGCTTGTACCTTACTTGTTCCTGGTTTGGACGGGAGAGTGTAGCGAACTAGTCGCTGCAACGGGGCGGGGCAGGGGGCTGCCACTGGAGATGCCGGCCGCGTCGCGGCGGGTCGGTAGGTAGGTTGTGGACAAACCTCCAGTTTATTTGTTGGAGCTCCGTTCAAAACCTCCGAGCTGGGTGAAATTGCTGCGAGATAATCAAAGTGGCCTTGCCCGGCGGATGCACATTACCTTACCTATCTTTCTTACGCAACCTATCTGACCCAGTGCTTGATTGGAAAATGGCGCATTCGACTTCTTCTTCGTCTTCTCCTTTTCCCGTTGCTTGTGTCTAGACCTCCATGGCCATTGTCATCGTGGTTTTTTGATCGAGGGTTCTCCAATTCCTCCTCGCTTTTTTTTTATTTTGTTGTACTTTTATTCATCCTCTTTTCTCCCCGCCTTCCCTCGATTCGTTCACGCCCTTCCTCCCTCCCTGCAACCTCCCTCCCTTCCGACCCTCCTTGAGTCCCTCCCTTTCTGGTTCTTGTCTGAATACTTGACCCCTTATTTGTACACTACGGCATATCCTTGTCTCTCCCTCCCTCGCTCTCCCCCGTCTTTCGGGGGCCACCGGTCGTTTCGTCATCGTCGACATCCTCCGCCCCTGGACACCTAGCACCGAAACCGCGACTGCGCTCCGGCCCCGCTGGCCTCGACGCTGCCCGTCATGTCGCAGCCTCCCGAGCCAAAGACGAAGGCGCCCTCGTCCCCATCCCCGCCGGCCGATGCCGACAACAAGGCAATCATTGACTACGCCGCAGCGATGCGCGCCAAGAAAGAGAAGAAAGAAGCCGGAACCGTGGGAAAGACCGCAGACAAGGTCGTGGAAAAGGTGGTTGTGGACAAGGCAAAAGCACGCCAGGCAGCCAGGCGGGCCAAGGAGAAGGAAGACGAGCGGATCAGCGCTTTTGAGCGGCAGAGAGAATCCGTCGAGGCCGCGCGCAAGGCCCGCTACGACGCGCGCTGGCTGTGGGCGGCGGGCTTCTGGGTATGGATGCTGAGCATCCATGTCGTGGGCATCGCCTACTTCACCAGCGGCTTCCTGCTGACGCGCCTCATGCTGGACGAGAAGTCGAGCTGCGACGCGCCCCCCACCCTCAACAGCACCGGCATCGACGTCCTGCCCAGCTGGAGGGGCAAGGGCCACGTCGACGGCGGCTGCTGGCATCCCAAGACGTTTGAGCGCGCCGTGGTCGTCGTAATTGATGCGCTGCGCTACGACTTCACCGTCCCCGTCGACGACAATGCGCCCTTCCACAACGCGTTTCCGTTCATGCACGACACGGCCCGGATGTCTCCTCAAAACGCCTTCTTGAGGCCGTTTATTGCAGACCCGCCGACGTCTACGCTGCAGCGACTCAAGGGTCTGACGACTGGTACCTTGCCAACGTTTGTGGATGTGGGGAGTAGCTTTGCTGGCGCGTCGATCGAGGAGGATAATCTCCTGATGCAGCTGCGGGATGCGGGCAAGAGACTTGTGCATCTTGGCGACGACACATGGGAGTCCCTCTTCCCTGGCTACTTCGAGGCAAACTTGAGCAAGGCCTACGATAGCTTCAATGTCTGGGACCTGCACACGGTCGACAACGGCGTGGCCGAACACATCTTTCCGCTTTTGGGGAAGAAGACGGGGTGGGATGTTCTGATTGCGCATTGCCTGGGCGTAGACCATGCCGGCCACCGATATGGACCCGACCATCCTGAAATGACCAAGAAGCTGCAGCAGATGGATGGCTTTATCCGGGATGTGGCAGCGACAATTGGCGAGAAAACGGTCCTGATTGTCATGGGAGACCACGGAATGGACGGGAAGGGCGACCACGGCGGCGAGAGCGACGAGGAGATCGAGGCCGCTCTCTGGATGTATTCCAAGAACCCCGTGTTTGGCAGGACGAAGCCCGAGTTTGTCACACCCCCGGCTACCGCCAAGACCAGACCTGTCAACCAAATCGATCTGGTGCCGACATTGGCGCTGCTCCTGGGCATCCCAATCCCGTACAACAACTTGGGGCGGCCGATCGAGGAGGCCTTTGTCGGTGCGAAGGGCAATGCATGGGATAAACTGGCCGCGGCGGAGAGGGTGACGGCGGCTGGCATCAAGCGCTACCAATCTTCATACTTCGCTGCGCGGGGCATCGAGGAAACCTCGGCTCCTGGCTCGCCTGCTGATCTCTGGACGAAAGCCGAAGCTCTTGTTGCAAAGGAAGCCAGAAACCCCGACTGGGCCACCGTTTTCTCGGCCTTTGCCGCCTACCAGCAGGAGACACTCAGGCGATGCAAGATCCTATGGGCGCAGTTTGACGTCAAGAATATGATCCTCGGGATAGCCATCATGGCGCTCGGGGTCGTCTCCCTCCTCGTGTATGTTTCCAAGGGGGAAGACGACGATGTCGCGGTAACGGAGGACCCGGAACTCGATATCGCCGAGAGGGCCTTGGAGATGCAAGGGCTTGGCGCTGACGCGGAAGTGACTGCTGGCCACGATCTAGACAAGCGCCTCGTCTCCGCGGCTCTCGTCGGTGCTTTCCCAGTTCTCGTGGGTGGTGTGGCTCAGTCCGTGGTTTCTGGGGATGGCGACTGGTATCGCGGTGCTGGGTTGGCGGCGCTCACAAGCATCGCAGCCGTCTTGGTGACTCTGTATGAGTCCAAAGACGCTCTTTTCAGCCTTGTCCCGAAGACTCTCTGGGGCTGGATGGCGGTCGTCTTCACTCTCAGCCAGTCCATCGGTTTTGCTTCAAACTCGTACACCATCTGGGAAGACTCGATCCTCCTGTTCTTCATCACCACGTTTGGCTTTGTCTCGGCGCTATCTGCGCTCAAGCTACCATCGCTAGCGGACCGCTACCTCAGCATATACCACTCCATCCTGTTCGTGTTGCTCGGCCGACTCGCGTCCTTCTCCAAGCTCTGCCGCGAGGAGCAGATGCCGTACTGCACCTCGACATACTACGCGTCCGCAACATCCTCGACCTCAGCCCCCTGGCAGCTTTTAATACCCTTTACCGCCTTCCTGGTCCTCCCGTCCATCGTCAAGGCCTACCTCGTTCCAGCGCGGTCTTACGAGGGCATGGCTCCCACCTGGATCAACTACGCCTTCCGATCCGGACTGTTCATGGCCGCCTTGTACTGGCTCTTTGACGCCGCCGACAACGGCAACTGGGTGCCCAGCCTACCAGCAAACACCTTCAAGAACATCAGCGTCTACACAGCCCAGATCGTCCTGGCCCTGGCGCTTGTGGCAGGCACCACCGCCTTCGTCTGGGCGCCGCCTTGCGTCTCGATCCTGACGGCCACGCGCAAGCCCGGCCAGGCCCAGGTGACGGTGCTCGGCTACGGCAACGCCCACGGCGCGCGCTACCTCCTCCTCCCGCTCAACATCCTCGCCGCGTGCTTCCTGCTCTCCAAGCCGATGGGCGGCGGCGCGCTCGCCATCATGATGTGGCAGATCCTCGCACTCGTCGAGATCCTCGACCTCAACGCCCTGGCCGCCTCGCCCATCGGTCCCGTCATGCTCGCCCTGCTCGGCAGCTTCCACTTCTTCAAGACGGGCCACCAGGCCGTCCTGAGCAGCATCCAGTGGGACAGCGCCTTTGTCCCGCTCTTCACCATCCGCTACCCCTGGAGCCCCCTCGTGGTTGCGCTCAACACATTTGCGGGGCAGATCGTGGCCACCGTCGCCCTCCCGCTCGTCGTCCTGTGGAAGGTCAACCCGCGCCGCAAGGGCGTGCTCGCGAGTGTCAGCCGCGCCCTCGGCGTCTTTGTGGCATATTTCGCCGTCGAGGCGCTCGCGAGCATGGCCTGGGCCGGATGGCTGCGCAGGCATCTGATGCTGTATCGGGTGTTTTGCCCAAAGTTCATGACGGCCGCTGCGGTGCTGCTGGTCGTGGACCTGGTTGGGATCTTGGTTACGCTCGCGGGGGTTAGGTGCAATACTGCTGCTATTAGCGAGGTGTTTGGATGGGCGGAATGAGGAGTGTGTTTCTCTTCCCGTCGTCGTGATTTGTAAATAAGTAGAAAAAGGAAATAGAAAGGAGTGGCGGCGAGGATTGCTGCTGTCTGTAGATAGATAGAAAGGAGAAGAGAAATAAAAGACATGGGCAGGTGTGTGAAGGAGACGCATGTCGCCCCTGCTGGTTTGGTTTGGCTTGGTATCACACGACTACCTCCCTAGATGTAAATACCTATACAGACAGTTGATGATGTATTGCTCTCTGGGTATCCAATTCAGAGATACCGTATAGGAACAATGTACAGAATTCGTGTACATAAATAAGTACTACCGGTTCTAGATTCCATTAAACATGCACACAGTGCACAAAAGAAGGGCATATTACATCCATTGGGTGTGAATATGCGCAAGAGTTGTTCACGTCTGCGACTACTCTGCATGGGTCCCTACCAGGCATCTACCATCACGAAATTTAAATACAAAAGCCTACTACTACTACTACTACGAGTATTTAAAAAGGAAAATCGGAAAAACAAGGCATAACATTCATCATGCAGCATTCAAAACGAGATTCAAAGTACCAGGTAAAGGAGGAGGGTCTGTTCTACGAGTTTTCCGACAGGATGTGGATACCCACACCCATACCCACCGCACCACACCAGGCGTCTAGACTACATGAGCAGGACTAAACACCACAGTTTCCATCCAAAAAATAATAATAATGGGAAGGTGGCCGAGCGGTCCAAGGCGCCACGTTAAGGATATATCCTTGATCATTCTTCTCTCCTTCCTCTCTCCTCCGAGAAAAGAGAACTAAAAATCCGTGGTCTCGTAAGAGGCGTGGGTTCAAATCCCACCCTTCTCAACATGTTTTTTTACGTCTCAACTCCACACTCAGTGGAGTGAGCTCAACACTCTTTTTGGCATTTTCTTCTTTCTAATTTTTATTGCCCATTGTGTCTCCTGTGTGTGTGGGATCTTGTTTTGCCCCTTTTCAGTCTCTGTTGTCAGTCTGGCTGGGTGATGCAATGAATATTGGTTCAGGTAGCGCTACAGACAGATATGTTTTCAAACTGGCTGGCGACACTTGGACACGCATCGGGTCCAAGTGCAAACACACGTGCACACAAATGGAGGACCAACATCGTTCTTCCACCGCCGGTCACTGACGGCGATGGCTGAATCGACGTAGCTTAATCCAAATGGGTGCAAATGGGTACGTTCCTGTCAATCACAATGGCACTAGAGACGTTGTTTTGCTTCGGACATCTTCTATTAAGGGAGATGAGTACCCAGAAGCACCTGACCGACCATCTACTTTGTGTATATATATATCTCTAACAAGCTTCAAAGAGTCCCATTTCCATGCTCTCTTGAAGACAATTCTTGATCCCAGCCAAGAACAACGCATCTTGTTGAAGACGCAGTTCGCAGCCTAGTGGCTTCCATCTGTAAAGCCGTTTCCGCGTCATCACCGAACCCCAAATAGAACACCTTTTCACCCCGTGACCGTCAACGCCGAGTTGAGAATGGCGGCCCCCCATCATGCTAATGCTGTTGAAACAAATCCGGATTTTTCCGTTTCCCTTGAACGCCGAGTTGAGAATGGCGTTCTCAGAGGTATCATCATCACCCGTTTTAAAAACCGTTAGTAGAAGACCCAACCTCTCAAAATGCTAATGCTGTTGAAAAAAATCCCGGACCAAGCACCCGCATCTCCAAATGCTATATTAAGCCAATTAAATCGCCTAAGCCTTGGTGTACTTCGCGCGGAAGAACTTGGCGGCGTTGACCATGTGGGTGAGAGCACCCTTAACCTCATCCCAGTTACGGGTCTTGAGACCGCAGTCGGGGTTGATCCAGAGCTGCTCGGGGCGGAGGAACTCGAGCATCTCCTCGATGCGCTGCTTGAACTCCTCCTCGGCAGGGACACGAGGGCTGTGGATGTCATAGACACCGGGTCCAATGTGACGGGGGTAGGCCTCGTCGACGAAGACCTTGAGGAGCTTGGCATCCGACTTGGAGTTCTCGATGGAGAGGACATCGGCATCCAGTGCGGCAATGGCATGGAAGAAGTCCTGGAACTCGGAGTAGCAGAAGTGGGAGTGGATCTGAGTGGAGTCCTCAACACCGGCGGTGGCCAGCTTGAAGCTGTCCACAGCCCACTTCAGGTAAGCGTCACGCTCAGCACCCTTGCGGAGGGGAAGACCCTCGCGCAGTGCGGGCTCATCGACCTGGATAACGAAGATGCCGTTCTTCTCGAGGTCAATGACCTCGTCACGCAGAGCCAGAGCAAGCTGCTGGCACTGGACGGACTGGTGGACATCGACACGGGGGAAAGACCACCGGAGGCAGGTGACGGGTCCAGTGAGCATGCCCTTCATGGGACGCTTGGAGACGGAGGCAGCGTACTTGGACTCCTTGACGGTCATGGGAGCAGGACGGGAGATGTCGCCCACGATGATAGGGGGGCGGACGCAGCGGGAGCCGTAAGACTGGACCCAGGCGTGGGTGGTGAAGACATATCCCTCAAGACGCTCACCGAAGTACTGAACCATGTCGTTACGCTCAGGCTCTCCGTGGACGTAGACGTCCAAGTCAAGCTCATCCTGGATCTGGATGGCAAGGTCGATCTCCTTCTTGATGAAGTCATCGTACTGCTCGGCAGAGATCTCACCCTTGGTGAACTTGTTACGCTGGATACGGATCTCCTTGGTCTGGGGGAAAGATCCGATGGTGGTCGTGGGGAAGAGAGGGAGCTTGAGGTGCTCCTTCTGCTGGGCGTAACGGGTATCGAAGTGAGACTTGCGGTCGTGCTGCTCAGGGGTGACCTGGGCCTGGCGCTCCTTGACCTTGGGGTCGTTGGTGCGGGTGGACTCGGCGCGAGACTTCATGGTGGCAGCGTTGGCATCAAGCTCAGCGCGGACGGACTCGGCATCGGCGATAGCCTTGGCGAGGATGACAACCTCCTTGGTCTTCTCAACGGCGAAAGCGAACCAGTTGTGGACCTCCTCGGGCAGCTTCTTCTCGCTGGCGAGGGTGTGGGGGGTGTGGAGGAGGGAGCTGGAGGTAGCGACGATGACACGGTCGGAGCCGAGGGCCTTGACGGCGGTCTGGATCAGCTCGATGGACTTCTGGAAGTTGTTCTTCCAGATGTTTCTGCCATCAACGACACCGGCAGAGAGGATCTGGGTGGGGCCGAGCTGCTTGAGGACGGGCTCGAGCTGCTCAGGGTTGCGGACGAGGTCGACATGGAGACCCTTGACGCCAGAGAAAGCGGGGAGAACATCAAAGTTGTGGACGATGTCACCGAAGTAGGTGGCAACAACGATGGAGGGGGCAGCGCTGCCGAGGGCAGAGAGGGCCTCATAGGCGGGCTTGAAGGCAGCCTTGACCTCGGCGCTCAGGTCGAAGACCAGGATGGGCTCATCGATCTGGACGCTCTCGGCACCGGCGGCCTTGAGGGCCTTCAGGAGCTCGACGTAGACGGGGATGAGCTTGCTGAGGAGAGTGATGGGGTTGACGGTGGAACCTCTGTCGGCCTTGCCGAGGGCAAGGAACGAGACGGGGCCAACAAGGACGGGTCTGGTGGTGATGCCAGCAACCTTAGCCTCGAGGAATTCCCGGACGGGCTTGGGGTCGGCCGCAAGGGAGAAGGTCTGGTTGTCTTGGAGAGTAGGCTTTACGTAGTGGTAGTTGGAGTCGAACCACTTGACCATCTCAAGTGCGGGGACATCTACACCGCCCTTCTGGTGGCCACGGCCCATGGCAAAGTACTCATCAATGGGGTCGAGCTTCTGGGACGTGTAGCGTTCGGGAGCAGCCTGTGCAGAGAGCGGGGTCAATTGACTGCACCAAGGGGCGGGAAGACGATGCACGGCAAAAAACATACATTGAAGAGCTGGATGTGGTCCAGGACATGGTCGTAGTGAGCAAAGTCGTTGGAGGGGATGATGTCGACACCGGCATCCTTCTGGATCTTCCAGTGGGCAAGACGGAGACGCTTGCCCTCGGCGAGGAGCTCAGCCTGCGAGAGCTTGCCGCCCCAGTAGGCCTCGTTGGCCTTCTTGAGGTCACGAAGGACTCCCATGCGGCTTCAGAAACGTCAGTCCATGCCCGAGCCGAAGCTTCCGGATTGCTCAATTGCAAGGGCTGCACTTACGGGAATCCCAATACTGAAGACTGAACCATCTTGGCTGGTGGGGGTATGAGTGGTCGGGGTGCAGGAAGGGCGGTGGTGATGGGGGATGGTATCGCAGTGTAGAGAGTGGTCTTTGCCTGAGTTTTGTCCAGGTCAAAGAAGAGATGATGAATGAGGAGGGAGAAAGAGAGAGAAGGCGGGGGATGGAATGAACAATAGGAGGGGGGGAAGTAGGTAAAAGAAAGAAGGAGAAGGAGGAGAAATCGGCAAACTTCCTGACCCAGTCTAGCCAAGCTGACCCTAGCTCGGGCACCACCTCACTTGATTCCAATTGAGTGATTGGATCCCGCGTTCTCTTCTGGCCAGGAAGCACGCAAGCACCTCGACCCAACCTGGGTCCTGGGCCGGGATCGGTCTGCAGTGGAGCCCATCTTTTCGCTGCCTGTGCTCTGTGCCCGGTTGCCCGGTGTCCACTCGCTGCAGCGAGCAGTTACAGTGCAGATTTGCTGCCCGAGGTCAATTCGGAGACCATCGTCTTGGGCAATCAGCGCAGCGCTCTCGGTCTCTTGCGGCGACTTTTTACGGGGAAATGGACGGGGAATCTATTGTCTGAGTGCTACCCCTCCACCCCTCCATCAGGATTCAGGAGCTCCAATCCATGCACCCTCAGTGGCCGACCAGGTAAAACCTAAATTGGCAGTCTCCAGGGACCGGGCTGGGTCTGTGCAGCGCCGGGGGCCTCGACCAGGTTAAGAAAAACGGCCTTCAAATCCAGCGGTGAGCGCTATCTGCTTGGCGGATGATGTGACGAGCCGCCCCCACCAACCCCTCCATACCCCACTCCAGAGTGGATCTTAGCTCTGGAGGGAGCTCCGGCCTCCGGAATCCTGAACCTGAGATGGGGAACCAGACCAATCTCGGATAAATATACCTCCGCCAGCGACATTACACGACTTGATCAGTCAGCCAGCAGGATAAGCTCGGTCCATCATGGAAGGGCCCTGAAATGAAACTGACACGTGCCCGCCCGGGCATAACCGCACTGTGCGTTGCGCTGGCTGGACACGGACAAGCAACACTTGTCCACTGCGCTGCGGGAAGCACTTCAGCCACACTTGTTGACGACTCAGTCCATGCTGATTGGACTTGGCGTGCAGGTTCCAGGTTGCCAATCACCCTGGATGGACGCCTGCTGCTCCAACTTCATACCTTATCCCAACCGCCAAAAAGACTGGTGAGAGCCTCGCAAGAGCTTCGTCATCGCCGTCTTGCCTTTACGAGCTCGACTCGTTGCTCGCACCTTGCCCCTTGATAGTTATCAACGCCAATTTTATTTTGGCCAACCTACTCATCATTGATTTCTGCCGCGGATTCCGCAACCCGCTACGACTAATTGCCGGGGCGCGCGTCGCTCTCCGCTCATTTCCCTCTTCATAGCATATTTCTAGTAATCTTCTTCTCCTACCTAATCCATCGTCCGTCGACCTCGCCGTCGTCATCAATATCCCGCGCGATGTATTCGAATCCCAACAACTTCCTGGGCGGCAATGCCCCGCGTCCGGGCCAGCAGCAATATGGCGCCTCGTTTGCCGGAGGAGCTGGTCAACAGCAGCCCACCCCTTTTGCTCCTCAGCCTACGGGCTTCGGCCAAGCTCCGCTGCAGCAGCAGTATACCGGTTTCCCGGGCATGCAGCCGCCGCAGGGACCTGGCGGCCCCGGCCCGC